ACCGCCAAATATCTTGTTTTTACTTTTTCTTCTGTATCTCCGAAACCGCTGAACCTGCTTTCCAAAAAAAAAAATAATCGTTTTCTCATTTTGTCAATACAAGTAAAATCTTTTTTGAATCCTTCAAATCACACGCTCCGTCATCTCAAAAACTGAATTACCATTTTTGGCACTTTTTGCCCAGTATCTTTGAAACTGCTGAACCTGCATTTGCCAGAATCTAATCAGTACGTCTCCCAGTCAATACGAATCGAATGCTTTTTGAATTATCGCGCAATCGTTGTCGCAAAATTTTTGTCCGAACACACACATATCTTTTCAGAAACCTTTGAAACGTGAAGGTACATAAAAAAATTTATTATCGATTTTTTGAGATTACTATAACTTATCATACAGGAATGTATAGTTAAAAAAAAGACATAAAGAAAATTTGCCTATACTAGAAAAACTCTAAAACAGACATGCTAGACTAGAGCATTCAAATAGCACGCTTTCCATATTGTAATTTCATGAGATAAATATTTTACGATAGTCTTTATCGAGTTATTTTAAATAGGTTTCAATTTTTTTTGAATGGTGCAGCCTTCTTAGCCAAAACGTCAACGTCGGAATGTCAAATTTTGGATTACTTACGCATACACACTCCTACTTTTTCTAATTATGGATCAGATCAGATTCAAAATGACTCGAAACGTCGAGAAAACTAGTAAATAAGATTTCTTGCAAACTTTTTCTTCGGGAAGTTAAAATATAATTCAATTTTTCTACTTAATTTTTGTTATAAACAGGAAACACGATGATAAAACAAAATTCTAATCAATTAGTTCCACAATTGTATATATAGTTGACTTTATAAATATTTACCTTCAATATATATTAAATTACAAATAAATATATATATATATATATATATATATATATATATATATGATGATGACTAACAAAATTATGTGTCATCGTATTCACCTACTTTTTCATCATCCAAGATTTGTGTTCAATCAGTTATTGTGCTGTTGGCACTTTTTACTTCATACTATTCACATTTTTTCTTTATGGATGAGTACATGATGATGACGATGATTCAGCAAACAATTATTTATGAAATAATTATTGCAAAATATTACAAGCTTCTTCTTGTTTTCTAACTGCATCTGTTGAAAGAATATGTTTCTTGGCATTCCTCACCGAACAATACGACGCAATCGTGTGGTTGAATTATAAAATATGTTATAAAACTTTAATTATACAAAAAAATGAATTATCAGAAGTTCATTTTGAACGATTTCAGATTATTTTAAAAAATGAAATATATAATAACTCAAAGTAATTAACGTAGAAATCATTATTCAGTTTATATCATGTAGATAAATAATAAAAACATATTTACTCTTTCAGTTTTAGGTATCTTATTCTTTAAATAAATCATTTTATATTCAATCGTTGAATTCAATTATTGTAAATCGAAAATATAATATCATTGGCTCGATTTACTATTTTCAAGTAAAATTATATATATATATATATATATATATATATATATATCGGAATTTTAAGAACCGATGGAAATTTTTGGATTTTTTGAATACTTTCCAAACCACAATTTCTTAAAAAAACAGTCGACGCACATTATTGTTTATATACAATGTTGTGTAATTTTTGAGAAATGTTTGAAACTAATATTTTTTTTGCTAATAATACAGAAAATGTAGTATGAATCTACCGCATTTAGACTTCATATACAAAATCTTTAATAAAATTCATCTCCGACTCTGCGCTAGATAGCTTGACTTTGTGATTTTCTATGAAGTGAAAATAAAATGGTAAACTACCTTTTCTGCATAGTAATATACTGCTTTTTTAAATCATATTTAAAATATTCTTTCTCTTGTTCCTTTTTTATGATCTCGCATATTTTTTATATAAAAAATAATTATATATATTACATTCATAGAATATAGTAATATGTATGTCGTTTTAAGAGCAACAAATTTCTAAAGAGGAAGAATTTCTTGGATGCTATTTTTTCATTTGAATATCTACACGATATTGATTATTTTATTCTACAATATTATTTTAATTGCATTCAATTTTTAAAATATTTATTACTTCTTTATATATATGAAGATCCTGTTCTAAAGAAACACGATTTTTTGTACTGCTTACTTAGAAATATTTGTGGTTTGAATACATTAGCATGGATGATCTTCGTATAATCGTAAATGTGTAATTTGAGCAAAAATACATGAAAATGGCAAATTAAAATTGTATTCATAATTTTCACTTCTATATTCTCACTATATGTTATACTCTATTTCTAAATTGTTACTTTGTAAAAATGCTACGAAATGTCAACAACAACTCTCAGGATTGTTCAGAGATAAATCTCACTAAATTTTTACTTGAACTTGTAGATAAAAAATATGCATCGAAAAATTGGACACTCTCGAGCAATGCTGCAAGTAAATTATATGATCAATATTACAAATTGATTAAATTTTTATTAATATCTATGGAATAAAGATAGGTCAGCCGTTGGATTGCCATCTAAAAAACTAGCTTGAAAGGAAATGTTGTACCAAAATGGCTCAAAGAACTATTAAATTATGATTGCTGTTCAAAAATCAGAAGAACAAAATAAATAAAATTATACATATATGGACTTGGATCACGGAAAAAGAATTATCGGTTGAATGTTATTTTAAGAACATTCATTATTATCTATTTTTCTATTATACTTACAATTCAATATATGAACTATATAAAATTTGATAACAAAACACCTTTTTCCTTTAGTTTTTATTTTGAAAAAGCATAAAGCTTTAAAAAAAAAATTAAGATAAAGTAACTAAAGTAGCAACATCTTTTAAGGACTCGTACGGAACCCTGAAAAACCCATATGTACCTCTATTACTTTATTACCTTGCAGCTTCTTTGATTTGTCGACAAACTCAACATCACTGCATAATACTAATTAACGCATAATATTGTATTTCTTTGAACTATGAAATAGCAAACGGATAATCGAATGAGCTTTAAGAATATTTCAATAATTAAAAACGATAAAGATAAAAATTTAATCGCGGCTCGATTGCATAAAGGTGTTTTATTACCGCAGTAAAGTGTGCGCCTAGACGCTATAAATTAGGATTCAATATTTAATTTCTATTGTAATTTAATTGATAATTCAAGCGAGTGTGTTTACAATAATGCATTCTTTCGCTTTTGCTATATAAGAGTTTAACTTCTTGATTTATATTCTAAATACGCACACAAATGAGTTTTGTTCATGAATGAATGTTTTTATGAATCATCGTCGTTCATTGATAAAATGAGAGTAGCTAATTTTAATGTAAAATGATATTTAATCATTGTGTATGAATGATATTTAATGTAATGAGACACAATTTAATATCGAAATTGGCTTTAATTTTTAGAATTACGTTTCTTAAGTTAATTATATCATTCGAATTTCTGTATATTTCATTTTGGTTGTTTCTCTTTCTAATAGCCTGTTTGACTTTCAATTTATTCATCTATTTCTAGATCTATCTTTTTTTATCAGCTAATTCAAGTATTATTTATTTTCCTATCGGAACCGTTTTTCTTCTAAGCTCATAGAGAAGAGAGTTTTGAAATATTTTTGTTTGAGAAAAGGCGAAATCCCTCTTTAATTCTGTAAAAAAAAACATAAAGGCGAAGTGTTAACGATTTTTATTCATAATTTGATGTCTTCTCAATATTTTATGATTGTGACATGTGTCGCAACTTGAACAATTTTTCTCTTTTGTTGTACAAACAAGTTGTTTGTTCGTCTACTCTATTTTCAAACTTTGGTTTCCAATTTACTCTAATTTTTTTGGCTTAAGTTGTGCATCATCTTATTATATTTTCTTGTAGTCATTGTAGAGCTTTGATAATTTTTTTTTTTGGGTTTTTCTTAACATGCGTCGTATCTAATTTCCTTTTCGTTTTGTAGTAGTTTTCAGAAAATTCCTCTTTTCTGCAACTTTTGCAGTACTTGCTCACTTGTTACTTTATTATTTTCTTCTCATGCACAATTGCACATTTTTCAGTTTATATAACAACTTTATGAACTACTAACTTTTTTCCAAACTTTGATAATGATTTGATCTGATGTTTCTCTCAGAAAAATATTTTGTTATATCCATGTAGACATAACTTTACGATTTGCATTATGGGCCACAATTGAAGGATTTAGTTTTTATGTAAATTCACTACATTTTCAAATATACGCTAGAATTGTTTTATAACATGATTTATGAACCGTTAAATGGGCGAAGTTTTCATTAAATATTTATTGTTAGTGACTATATTTTTATTGGACTTTTTTCTATTTATTGAATCTGGCAATTGCTTGATCATATTATTCATATGTGCATATATTTATACGATATAACAATTATTTATATTTTTACTATATATAACGTAAGAATATAAATAGCTTTCACCCAATATAACTAAATTTTTCATGTTTACCAATACAAATCTAAATGGTATGTCTAATTTTAGATGCATTATAAATTAATTTTAATATAATTACGCCGTTGTTTTTCAAATTAACTAATATTATAATATATTCATATTTCCATCATTTATTTAACTAATTATATATCATGTAATGTAGCAATTTTAAATGCAATGATAATGATTTTTTCGAGTTCTTTATCGTCAACGTTATTAAATTAGTTATAAAATTATTTGTCATAGTGAGACATGGAAAATTACTGCATTACATCAGCATTAATATTTTTTGCAGTGTGTAATGTTCTCTGAGTTATTTGCATAATTATCATTCTCAGTACATCACATACCAATGACATAATAAGAAATAATAACAATACGCTACGGTGATGTTTATACTACTGTAAATATGCCAGTTCATAGAAAATAATATGAATACAGTGCATTTTGCATTATTGTAATTAATGAAATATCTTGTTGATTACTCTTTATTAAATACAACTAAATTTAATTTACAGTTGATTAATCTCGGCGCCTGTGCCCTTCTGCATCCACAAGTGATTAGTGTGTCCCCGGTTTTTTGGTGAGTTTAATTTACATTTTTAAACGATATGTAATTTTGATTTCTTTATATATTTTTTTGAACTTAATTTGGTGATCTATTTATACAAAATAATGAGCAGCAATGGTTAATAAAATACAGAAATTAGAAGATATTTTGATTAGATATCGGTGGTAAACTCAGTAGCATAGCGCAGGGAATAATTTTATTTTCTTTCTGATTTTTCAAATTTAAAACAATTAGGCGATTTTCATTTCGATCTTACTTTTGGTACTTTAGTACAAAAATATAAACTTACTAATTATTTGAATGGATTGGTATTATTATATGTAAGTTCCTAGAATATACTAAAATAAGATTGCTGAACTCTTGCTTCATTGTTTTGTATCACCTTGTCTCTTATGGCTAGTTTTATCATATTTTGTCGAAAACATTGTCAAAATTTCTTGAATTGATCATGTGTTTTAAACTACATCTTATATTTTTTTAAAATTTTTTGAACAGCAATCAGAACTTAAGAGTTCTGTGAGTTGTTGTGACAAATTCCTTACAAACAAGTCGGATTTTTTTTATAGATGGCAACCTGAACTGTTCTCCTATCTCCATGTGATAAATTATATTATTACAATTGCTGCAATAGTGAGAAATTTTATTTTGATGCGGGCAATACCGGGCAAGGGTCATTTTCTCTGGCAATATATTGCTATTTATATTTCCAAGTGAAAGTCGATGTCACTACAGCTTGGCATTAGGTTGCCCGAATAAGGTATCGAACCTGAGACCTCTTATTGTTATCCCACAGCTCTAAATACTAATCCTAGATAATATTTTTTTGTTGTTCTTCTTTCTTCATCCTTCAGGTCGACTTAGGTCTTTTATCAATAGTTTTTTTTTTGTTTCAATTTGGCTAAAATATAGCCAAAATTCTTTATTTGGATATTAGTAACCACATCTCGAAATATGAATGTTATATTTCTCATTTTACTGCAAGTTTGTCATATTTCTAATTATAACAGTAAATTCTGTTAAGTGTTTTGTAATTCCAGTTTTGTAGTTCTAGTTACTGATAAATTATCAATTTTTTTTTGGGATTAGAATTGTTGTGAATAACACATAACGTCTGTGGACCAACAATTTGATAAATATCCTTTTATCATAGTAAATTGAGGTTTTCGCTGAATCTTCAGCAATGGAAATCAATTATCTGGAACAGATAATTATCTAAATTTTGTGCAAATATTTTTTTATAATTATGAATATAATTTGCTCTTGGCATTTGAAGCTATTGGCTTTGAATCAGAAGTTCCAGATTCGATACCCGTCTCGAACTGATGTCAAGCAGTAGGTACATTGGTTTACACTTGAAGATGTAGATAGCAAGTGAAATTAGTTCTCACCGGCATAACTGAATCAATAAAAAATTCATCTGTTTTACAGAAATTGTAATATTATTTCATCAAATAGAAGCACACCAAACGTTGGGTTGCCTTCTAAAATAGCAACATAGTTAATATAATTTTTCACAGCAGCTCATAGGACCCTTAAATGCTGATTGCTGTTCAAATAAATCCAAAAATGCACGTAGATAGTTTCTCCAAGAATAAACGTCTCAAAATAAAATAAACAAAACGTTGGATATCAACCGTCTATAATGACAGCGCGTCGATATTTCTAGTAGGTCAGTAGAGTTTTTAGTGGAAAGTATTTAATTATACATATACTGTTTTTATTTTTATTCATTAGTTCGTAAAACATAATAGTTTCATGACATGATTACCTTGAATTTCCACCGCCAACCTTGGACCGGAGAATCTTATTTGCATACGCATGACGTTTAACTTCACGCGCGGTAGTTCACTGCTTCGAGCGTGGACGAAAAGAATGGCTTGTATTCCGCGGGATAACGGATATTTTCTTAATTATTACTACATTGTAATTTAGAAGTTAGGATAAATGACCTATATGACTTTAGTAAAAGCACTGTATAAAACATACGCAAAACGCCATAATATTTTTGTAGTAGGAGAGATAAAGTACGGTTGTACCAAGGTACTGTAGTGACAGTCATCATAACAGCTAAACTATACTAAATTTGAGATAGGGTGCAAAGGGAAAACGATGAAGTATGTTTGTTCGAACAAGTTTCCACTATTGCATTTGCGCCCTACATTAACACGATCTATATAGACTATATATATACTATATATAGACCGCATTACTTTTAAAGAGTCAAAAGTAATTTTTTTAGTTCAATTTTTTTAAATAATAACTGTAACTTGTACACAGATAGATCACATTATTTGTTATTTTGCTCTAAGTTGAACATTAATAGTTGACTACCAGCAATTAGGTCTGCCTAGTCATAACTATGAGTTGTTTTCAAAAGTGTGCGTTGGGTACGGTTGTGACATGTGGTAGTGGGTTCTGTTCTTTTCGTGTGAAGATTTAACAGATGAAGAAAAATCTAACTAGGTGAAGACAAGATACGAAAGAGAAAATGAAAGGAAATTTCAGTACAAGAAAACAAAAGATTGGACAAAGATTTCTTGTATAAAAATTATATTTTGTTATATTATTTTCACAAGCCTTTTTTAAATGATTATATTGTGTTGTCACATATTTCTGACAAAGTAAACAAAGTAAATGACTACAAGTCATTATAATCATTTTAGTGTTTATCTATTTTTTGTCCTATTTTCATCTCTGTCACAACCGTCCTGGGGGTGTGGATGGTCGTGCCACGTGCCCTTTTCTTACATGATTTAATTTTCTGATTAATCCATAGTATTTGAGGACGGTATTTCAGCATTTTCACGCAGACAAATGTTTAAATTACCATTTAATTTACATTTTTCTCAGCCAACTTTTAGATTAACAAAATAATTGCCGATAAAAAAGTGACAACCATACCCAGATTTTCCCACTTTTATAGGCGATACTCCCGATCAATATTCTCTAAATCATATTTAAGTCTTAATAATTCACAATTTTTATTTGGTTCATGGAATTTTACCAAAGTATTACATTGCTAAATACAGTGAATGACACGTATAATTCATAAATTTATGCATGTAATTTTATTGGTTTTCTTTATTATCATTATACTTTATTGTAATTTTATTGGTTTTCTTTATTATCACTATACTTTATTAAATTCAGTAGTATTAACTTTAATAACTAAAATTTTTATTGCGTCTATAACATCAATATAATCACATGATTTATGTCGATTATCTTTAATATAATTCTGAAAGTTATAGTAATTAATATTAATATGTTAATTATTATTTTTCATATGGAATTAGCGTTCTTGTTTCTTTAAATTAAAGTTCAGCTGCTTCACATTCCACGTTGCTAATTTAATACAAGTATTTAAGTACTATAGCATCCAGTGATTAATAATTGTCGTGTAAGCTGACAGTTTCATTTAACATAAAATATTTTACTGTATCCTTCGAATATTTTTCATTAATTAAATTATGGACAAGGAGATTACTCGTCTGGGATTTTGATGGAACTTCGCTGTGGTGCTCGTGTTGATAGTAAAAACTATCCCTCAAAATTTTGTTAGACGTATCAGAAGTGGTTCTATTATAAAAAATAATGAAAATACTAACTAAATGTATATATGGGGGATTGGGTACGGTAGTGACAGTGGTCCTAACAGCTAAATATACTGATTTTGAAATGAGGTCCAAAGGGAAAAAGGATGAAGTATGTTTGTTCGAACAAGTTTCCATTATTGCATTGTGTCGGGTCCCTACATTAACATGAGTATACATACTTATTTTGCTGTAAGTTAAACGTTAGTAGTTGATTACCAGCAATTAGTTTTTGCGTAGATAATTTGGCTCTGTCATGACGATTATTTGTTTACAAAAGTGTACGGTTGTGACATGTATTTCTTGGGCTTTCAAAATGATTATTAAACAGATAAAGAAAAATCTAACTTGATTAAGACAAAATACGAAAGAGAATGATCACATGAATTTCTAGTTAACTTTGTTTAAAAATATATGTTTTGTTATATATTTTCATATTACATTCATATACTTACAAGCTTTGTTTAAATGGTTATGTTGGTTGTGTTACATATTTCTGATAATTAGGTCAATGTAAACCATTTTGCTGTCTATAGCTATTGTTTTTAACCGATATTTATGCTCGTCATAAGCGTCCTGGGGGTGTGCAGGGTATGTGTAGAATTCAGTATTCAGTAGAATTTATAACTATCACTTCTAATAGAGTTTAGTATTGTAGACTTCAGAACTTCTCAAACTTATGTGTCCCCTTTTTTGTCATGTGCTGTCTTTAAATTCCCTGTATTTTCTTTTCTTGTGCAAATCGTTGAACTGCATTTTTTATATATATTATAGATATGTATATATATATATATATATATATATATATATATATATATATATAGAATTTATAACTATCACTTCTAATAGAGTTTAGTATTGTAGACTTCAGTACTTCTCAAACTTTTGTGTCCCCTTTTTTGTCATGTGCTGCCTTTAAATTCTCTGTATTTTCTTTTCTTGTGCAAATCGTTGAACAATGTTGAACTGCATTTTTTATATATATTATAGATATATATATATATATATATATATATATTAAGGAATTTCATTAACGTTATTTCTAACAGAAATTGTTTAATTACTTTATTTATATAACAGATGAAATGCAAGATTCATGCAAGCAATTTCAATTGATGATAAACAACATGTATAGATTACACTGCTGCTCATCTCTGTATATCAAATGCATGTATATTTTTTACTCCTGGACAATTATCGAATAAAACACGATCGCATAAACATCAGTAAATTGATTTGAAATTATACTATATTATAAACTACTTACGACTTGACGTACCGACTATAGATAATTGGCTCGTTAGAAAAGAACTTTCTTCACGCGCCCATGTTTCAGTCTCAACGCCGTGATTCTTTAATAAATTCACATATTTCCGGTTATCAATAACATATTGTATTTGTATGATGATCGATCGTCGT